TGCGAACGTCCAGCGGTAGAAATGGCGCAAAGCGGAGAAATTCACCTGGACCAAGATAAACTCTGCTGCTCCATCTGCCTGGATCTGATGAAGGATCCTGCTACTATTCCCTGTGGACACAGCTACTGCATGAACTGCATCAGGAGCCACTGGGACGCAGAGGACCAGAAGAAGGTCCAGAGCTGCCCCCAGTGCAGGCAGACCTTCAGGCCCAGGCCTGTCCTGGTGAAGAACACGGTGCTGGCCTATCTGATGGAGGACCTGAAGAAGACCCGCCTGCAGCCGCCTGCAGGAGACGGCTGCGCTGCAGGACCGGAGGATGTGGCCTGCGATTTCTGCACCGACCGGAAGCTCCGAGCCGTCAGGTCCTGCCTGCAGTGTCTGGTCTCCTACTGCGAGCAGCACCTGCAGCCGCACTTCCAGTCATCGGCCTTCGAGAAGCACAAGCTGGTCAAACCGTCACGAAGGCTTCAGGAGAACATCTGCTCCCATCACAGCGAGGTGATGAAGATCTTCTGCCGCACCGATCAGCACTGCATCTGCTACATGTGCTCCTTAGACGAGCATAAAGGCCACGACACGGTTTCTGCTGCGACGGAGAGGATCCAGAAGCAGCGAGAGCTCTGCGGGAACCAGCGGGACATCCAGCAGAAGATCGGCAGCACCAAGAAAGGCATCCTGGTGCTGCAGCAGGAGGTGGAGGCCATCAATTGCTCCGCAGATAAAGCCGTCAGGGACAGCGAGAAGATTTTTGCAGACTTCATCTTCGTGGTAGAGAAGAGGAGCTCGGGCGTGAAGCAGCAGATCAGGTCTAGGCAGAGGAACGAGGTCCGGCAGGTCCGGGAGCTTCATGAGAAGCTGCAGGAGCAGCTGGTGCAGCTGACCAAGAAGGAGAAGGAGCTGGAGCTGCTGTCCCACATTGACAACCACATCCAGTTCCTCCACAGCTACTCCCTGCTCACCCTCCCCCACGAAGGGCCCCACCTCTCCGGCCTCAACGTCCGCCCGCTGCGCTACTTCGATGACGTCATGCTCGCCGTGTCAGAGGTCAGGAACAAGCTGCAGGAAGTCCTCCAGAGTGAGTGGACCAAAATCCTGATGACCATGTCCAAAGTGGACGTCTTGCTGTCTCAGCCGCAGCCGGAGACCAGAGCCGAGTTCCTGCAGTACTCCTGCCAGCTCACCATGGACCCCAACACGGCCAACCCCCGCCTGCTGCTGTCGGAGGGGAACAGGAAGGCTGCGGTGATGAGAGCCAGGCAGCCGTACCCCCCCCACGCCGAGCGGTTCACCCAGAGGCAGCAGGTCCTGAGCGCCGAGAGCCTCAGCGGCCGCTGCTACTGGGAGACGGAGAAGAAGGCGGCCAGAGCCACAGTGGCCGTCGCCTACCGCGACATCCAGAGGTCGGGGGGCGAGAGCGGCTTTGGGAACAACGACCGGTCCTGGGCTCTGGAGGATTCAGCCAAGTTCATCCACAACAACGTCCGAACCTGCATCTCCGGACCCGTGTCCGGCAGGGTGGGGGTCTACCTGGACCACAGCGCAGGACTGCTGTCCTTCTACAGCGTCTCCGACACCATGACGCTTCTCCACAGGGTCCAGACCACCTTCACCCAGCCGCTCTACGCCGGCTTCGCTGTCTACGTTTATGACGGATCCCTGGAACTGTGCGACCTTAAAGAGGCGGCCGCAGACGCTCAGAGCGCCGCCATTGTTCTGTAAATGAACGACCCACATGTCGCCGTCACTATCCGCTTCGTACCGGTAGCACGATCCGCACCATCAGCTCATCTGAGGGACCAGATATACATCCCGGTGATTTGGGTGTCAAAAACACCTAAATCTAAATTCTCCCTCCCCCAAAAATAGTAAATACAAAATACAAAAATATAACGTGTTAAAGGTTAATAATGTATTTCCTGAGAAAAAATAAATTCCTTAAAATCCTTTCTGTTTTATCCTCTGCTCCTGATCTGCACAGGAAATAGGATGCTACGCTACTTCCTGGAGCTAACTTTCTCTGCCAATACTGACCATCAGGTGCTCTAGTCTTTCTGAGTTTTATGTTTTCCTTTCATGTTAACATTATCGTATATAGTGCGTAATCTAAAGAAAGAAACAACTAAAATGTTTCTTTAGTGAGTTAAAGATAAAAAATAAGTAATTTTAGTACATTATTTATGGTGACCTAGATGAATATCTGCTTGCAACTGAGCTGATGGTACGGATTGTGCCTTGGGAAAGGATCGGGTTTCCGGTACGGATCGGGTTTCCACTATGGATCGGGTTTCCGGTACGGATCGGGTTTCCGGTACGGATCGGGTTTCCACTATGGATCGGGTTTCCGGTACGGATCGGGTTTCCGGTACG